CTGCCTACAGTACCACAGCTTAATGGCATGGAGCCCTGCTGAATATGAATGAGAGTTTGTTCTGTGACTGCATGCAGGCAACTGTTTGGGTTAAAACCTTATTTCCTGTGGTTCTGGGAGTCTGTGGAGCCTTTTTTTTTTTTTTTTTTTTTCTTTCTTTATGACTACTGCAGATGAGCTGGCGGTGCTGTCTACTTAGGCAGTGGGAAGCACTTAAATATGGTGCCAGACAAGTTTCAGAGTCTAATGGTCGACAAGTGCAGCTCTCGTTGGTGGTGTCACGGTATCACAAGTTCAAGAGGATAAGCAGTAACTCTGTGGAATTCTGTTTACAAATTCTTTATAATAGGGGACAAAAACAGCTGGTGGTGAATACCAAGATGATCACATCTGTGGCATCAAAATGCATAAAAAGTAATAATATATGTTGATAATCACATCCCAGTGTATACTTTTTTTTTATATTTGTGACCTTTGTTTTTCTTAGGTGTCACCAACTACAGTATATTTGTCACAAGGCCAGAATTTTTTTGGACAGGCACTTTAAATAAAATGTTGTTTTAGAATGTAGTTGCAGGCCACATTGTACCGTTTGCTGGGTTGGGCTTCTGGTTGATAATCACTGCTATATACAGTAGCTCTCTGCAAAATGTTGTTGATAGAAGGCAATTCTATGTAACCCTTGCAATACCTGTAGTTCACATGTACTGTATGTCAAACTTGTAAAAATGTAGCTCAGGTTGACCAGTTCAATTCCACATCCACATATACCAGTATCCTACTATAATAATAGTAGAAGAAGAATCCACTCCTCTGCAGTTATTGACTGAAATAAAAAACTTTTCTTTGCTCTGAATTTCCATCCTCCCCACATTTGGACTGGCCACACCTTCATGTTGCAAAGATTAAGATACTTGTTTTTCTTGAGGCCTCGTAGCAAACACAGAGAGCCAAGACAGATGATGCAGTAGAAAACTGCCAGGAGAGATTTGAATGTTGGCTCGCTTGATGTGAAAGCTGGACCCAACATAGTGATAGTGCATACCCCCCCAGGCTTCACTTCAGTTACCTGCCAACCAGTGTTGTGCAACCATCCAATAGCCCTGCAGTGTTTTGTGGAAATATCTCAGTGAAGTGGTCTGTGAGATAATATGGCTACCATGAGCCAAATGAGAAGCACGGAAAAAAACATACATCAGTTGCTGAATAAAGCAATAAGATCCAGAAATGTGAAACAATGGCTCCTTCCAGGTGGCGGTGTGCTGTGAGAGGAGAGGTGGGAATTAGATTGGACAGAAAGCTCGTCTGGCTGCCTGGCTGTTAGCATTGTACTTGGCAGTCCTCTACATGGGACATGCTGACAGGCAGGCGTGCATGTCACTGCACATAACCACCCCCCTGCACAACCCACGGCCCTGTAGGGCAGGTCAACTGTCCTGTGTTCAGCTCATATGCCCACAGTCCCATATTTGAGCCAGAGATAGCAGCAGAAGAAAAACAAGGGCAACCGTCAGAGCCTTTATATGCAGGAAAGACCTTGCAGGGTGAGAGAAAGGCCAAAGGTGTCATCACACACACGTAATGCAGTGTAGTAATTTTAGTCCAACTCAGATGAGCTTGTGTCCTGAAAACCCCTGCAGCATTTCTGCAAAAAAAAAATCTATGTATGGCTTTTTTTCCCACATGATCCTGTCTCAGGAAACATGTTGTGATGCAGTGGAGTGTGGTAAATAACTCAAGTTCTGACCCCTTGTGGTTACAGCATGTCTTTCATTGTAACCTGGTGGTTTCTAATCCAATAGTGCTACAGAATTTTAAGGTCATATAAATAAAATACAGTGTTAAATAATAAAATAAGTGCAGTTTAAGCCAGAGATGGAGGAAAGTCATGCATTTAGAAAGTCTGGTTTAACTGACAGGGTGAAAGACAGGATAAAAATGGTATTTTTAATTATATCATATTATACCATGACCCACACAAGTTACCCCTGTGACCCATACTTGGGTCAAGTATTATTGCTGTTTTATAAATATAATGATTAGGTGCCTTGCTGTCTATCTGAAACATCATATTCATCTAGATCTTTAATGACCTTTTCTATTGAATCTGGACCTCTGTATCGTGTTTTTAAAATTCTGTGACGTTTAAATGCCTTTGACAGGGCGTGGGAGAAATGTTTTTTTTTTTTTTGGTACTACGAAGAAAACCCATTAAACAATGGACGATTGGTGGGAGGAATGAAGGCAACTTTTAAAATATTAAACATCACTCATGAAGAATAACAAGCTCCAAAAAATGGGCTTCTCTTCTAATGATTATAAATAGCTTTTAGGCAACGCTATGCAAGTAAAATCCCTACATTTATTATTTTCCCTGTGAATATTACATCGATTATTCTCAGCAAGAAAAGGAAATCAAAGTCACACGGAAACTTGTGCAATTCCCTGCAATCATTTCTCTTCTTTGATACCTGGGAGTGCATTTTAAATGTATTGATTCTCTCTGACCACCACCCCCCCACGCTCCCCTACCCCAGTCACATTTGCATATCTGAGACATTTTTAAACAAGACGTCTGAGTAATGTTTCTCCCCTAAAGTTGATAGAATTACTGTATCACAAACATTTTCCTAAAGGAGAGAAAGGAAAATGTGCTGAAGGATGAAAAGCAACTGAAAGAATGATTTATTGTAAAGATTCTTGAGGGGATGCATTTACACGACACCTACAATGGTATGAATTGTACTTATATCTGGATTGCTCTTTGGTTGAATGAGAAGAGTGCAGTTCAGCTTTATGCAGGCACTTATCCTGGCTAATACGACTGAAATCTGAAAGCTTTGTCTTCTTTGTGTCCTTGTGCTCTCCACAGATGTGCTGCGGACCATCGGCAATTGCTTCTCCTCCTCCTCCTCCTCCAGTGGAAATTCAATGGCAGACAAAGACTGCGCTTTCCATTTTTCCCGTTATTCCTGAGCTCATAAAGACAGATCTGGTTCAAACATTAAGCCTGTAATATTTCTCTCATCTCTTTCTCTGCCAATTTCTATTCCTCCAGTCCATCACCATGTCTTTTTTTCTGGCATCGACCGTCCTTATGATTCTTCAGACGTATACTGTCCAGGCGGGATATGACCCAACAGTGGACCCAATGGACCTGAATGCTGGACTAGCAGACAATGTTTCTGTAGATGTTTCCTCGCCTCCTCCCCCAGGTACTAGCAAAAGAACACCACATAGTATAATTATCGGAGTACGCAAAGGCGGGACAAGGGCGCTGCTGGAAATGCTGGACATTCACCCTGAGGTAGCCGTAGCCGCCACCGAGGTGCACTTCTTTGACTGGGATGAGAACTATGCTAAGGGCCTTGAGTGGTACCGTGAGTTGATGCCCTACTCTTACCCACAGCAGATCACAGTGGAGAAAACTCCAGGTTACTTTACATCAGCCCTTGCACCGGAGCGCATCTGTGCCATGAACTCCTCCATTAAACTGCTTCTGATATTGCGAGACCCAGTCGAGCGGGTGATCTCCGACTACACCCAGGTGTACTTCAACCGTCTGGAGAACCACAAACCCGTACAGGCCATTGAGAACCTGCTTGTGCGCAACGGAGCGCTGAATATAAGATACAAGGCAATTCAGAGAAGCCTCTATGACATCCACATGAGGAACTGGCTGCGCCACTTCCCCCTGGACCAAATCCACATCGTAGACGGGAACGCGCTCATTCACGATCCTCTGCCAGAACTTCAGAAGGTGGAGCTTTTCCTGAATTTGCCCCCAAGGATAATGTCCTCCAACTTTTACTTTAACCAGACCAAGGGATTTTACTGCATCCGGAGTGACGGCAGAGAGCGATGTCTGCACGAGTCAAAGGGACGTCCTCACCCGGTCGTGAATAACACCGTCCTCCAGCAGCTCCGCTCCTATCTGCAAGAACACAACAGAACCTTCTTTAGACTGGTGAAGCGCACATTTAACTGGCAATAAGAAATCCAATCCCAACTCTAGACTCAAGTGAGGCCACAACCTCATCTGATGTGGACAGAGAGGGGCACAAAGCACTTTAAAATCATTTCGAATAGCCTCCATGCACCACTGTTCTTATCTTTGGTTGGCACAGAGCAGTCAGACTCTCAGTAGGAGGCAAAACTGAACACGTGTGCATTTATGAAATACAGGGTACGATTTTACAGCCCACAGCCCACAACATGACAGTTCATCCAGAACATGTTCAACCCTTTGTACTTGAAGTAATCAAGTGAGGTGGGTACCAGTACATACGATGGTAAGTCAAAAACTTGAGTTTTGTTCCTTGCTCCATCATTGCTCCTCTTTTCCAAAAAGAGAAAGGAAATTGAAAGGAATTAAATTTCAGGCCTTAGACGAAAAAAAAAAACATATGCTAAAAAAGGTCATTTAGAAGAAATTATCTAAGAAAATGTCACTTGCATAAGGTAAATGGAGGATATGTAAATGAAGGGATTTTTAAAATTCTTAACATTTTTGAAAGTCTTGGAATTTCTTGACTTACCCTGGTATGTGCACTACACACCCCTACAGGCTAAACAGAGGAATCTTCAACCTTGAGAAGTCACTCTTTCTGGGAACATAAACGTGATCAGGAAAACAAGTAAATGGAAAAGATGTACTTTTTCTCTCTCTCTCTCTCTCTCTCTCTCTCTCTCTCGTTTGATATTCTTGTTCTTGATAATAAATGGTTCTGCTTTCAAATTTTACAGAGAAATGCTGTGTTCTCTGTCTCCCTCCCTTTCTCTTCATTTGGTTCTGGCTGTCAAAAGCCCTGCAGCGTCTTACCTTTCTTATTTAGGATGCACACTAACATAGGCAGAGGCTTTGATTCGCTATGGTGAAAGTTAGACATTAATGCTGGAAAATGGTTACCCTGGAGCAGTGCTTTAGTAGGACAGGGATCACTAATGGCTTTGGACATTGAAGGCCGCATGTGCCTGCAGCAAAATCAGTCCAATCTCCCTAGTCAGCGAGCACAAATCTACAGAGCTTCAGATGTATTTTGCTGCTCCATCCAACAGTTTGCTCAGGTGTTTAATTTAGTCATTACACCGTCAACCCGGCAGGATTGTCAGTCTCCCATAAATCATATTAAATCGGTGAGAGCGCTTTTTTTGAATCGTACTTAGCGAGCAGCTCTCAGAGTAAAATCTAGTCGCCCTATTAAAACAACACATGGGTCGTGTTTCATTCATTGATTTAGCTCTAAACAGCAGCCAAAGCTACATCTCCAGTGGGAACTGATATACATGTGATCTCTCTCCACTCTGTCTGCAGGAAAAGGTATAATAAATCTCCAGAGGCGTGTACTCACTGATGTTCCATTGTAACTGTAGCCGCGGGGCCATACAAAAATATCATTTATATCATTTCTGTGGAGTCATCTGTATTTTTTGCCTTTTGGAACCAGACTTGAAAATGGTGTATAATTTAAACCTGGATATGAGAGTTCATCACAGAACTGTTCACCAAATGAGTCGGCCTCAGGCCTGTGTTACTGCAGTAACTCTGTAATATTGTGCAAAGGAATAATTAGAGTTACACCAGATACAAATCTGGACAAAATGACTCCAATTCTTACAGAAGCAGTTTTAGCTTTTTTGTACAGATTACTGAATAAAAAACACCATCTGTGAACTTTTCTAGAACCTCATACTCTACGTTATTACTGTTGACCTAAATGTGTGAATGCTTCTTTGTTAAAGCTGCACTACAGCTCTTTTTCTTCCTTGTCGTCAGGTGTGCTCAGTGAGAAAAACACCTTTGTGTCAACTTGCCGTGGGACTCTTTGCCCTTCTGCTCACCAGGGGGCACTTGTACCTCAGAGTTGCTCTTGAGAGACCGTGGAGGCTCTGAGTGGTGCTCTTTCTAGGATCTGTTCTCTGCATGCACACAGGTGAAGGGCCTGTGACACTTACCTCATGACCTTGTCCAGAGCCTGTCTGGGCTGGTTTGTATCACACAGCTGCTCATGTGGAAAAGAACAAACTGTCCCAGGGCAGCGTCTCATTCTACCACAAACACAGTGACAGGCAAACACACACACACCATTCCCAAGGTGATACACTGGTGAAGACTGTTTGCACCAAGCAGGTGGGCAAGAAGGACACAGGGGTACACCTGCCTAAAATACACAAATCTATACAGACTGTGCAACATTTGTGTAGTATCATTTGACGTAACTTTGTGTATGGATGATATTTAAGCTTGAGCTGCTTCAGAGAAACAAAAAACGTTTTCCCGCAATATGTGCAAATAACCTCTTTTCGACTGTGTATTAGAACAACAACAAGTCGATGAATGGTGGAATTATTGGATATTCAATTACAATAACTTTAAAATATAATATCTAGATAAAAGTTAATTCTCAAAATTCAATTTACCAATGTAGATTTGGTAAACAATGAATGCTTGATGCACAAGTGTTACAAGTAAAATTATTACTGTCGTTGTTGTATTGTAGATTGTACAGTATAATAAGATTTAAATCTGATGAATTTGTAACCGTGCCAAATGGTTGCTCTTCAAAATAGGCTACATGTGTAGCTAACACTAATGCTAATGTCAGTGTGTCACTCACTAATGTTGACTCCTTAGAAAACAGTGGTGCCTTTTCATTACCTTTGGTAATCGTTAATTTTAAAGTTAGATTTTGTGCATGTAGAGAAACGTGGTGCAGAGGTACTGATCTGATTTTTGTCTGTTTAGTCTAAAGAAAATGTTGCTTTGGCCTGTTTCAGTCGGAGAGAAGTTATTCAAATCCCCTGACACTAACAAGTTGCCTGAACTAATGGGCGCTGCTACGGAGTGAGTCACTTATCACTGCACGTCTTTGATAACTGCCAACGTCAGGCATAATTAAAGGTTTGAGGGGTGGTCTGGGACAATCTGCACTCCGTGTTTTGGCCGGTCTTGTCATCCCAAGAAGCCTCTAATGATCTGTCTGGGATTGTGATTGATGAAGCACTTAGCACTGAATCAAAGCACATGAAATGCTGGCTGCCTGTGAAGCTGTTTGCAACATCTCTGCTGTTCTATATTTGCGATGCCAGTCAATTATGAATGTGTCCTTGATCTCTCTTAATGACCTTTATGTCAATATGAGAAGAAGAATCTCATCTGCATCAGAGGTGGAGGACATGACTCAGCAGCTGTGCTGTTAGCAACATGGGTCAGTGAATCGATTAACATCCAGTACGGGCGTTTCTTATCAATACCTGCAAGCCCTGCACACACGTGGTGGAATTATTAGACTGTATTGACAATTATACTGCTGAAATGAATGTGCATTAGAAATATGTCTTTCATTATGCAACTACAGAAGTGCAAACGCACACGTGGTTAGTGCTCTTGCCTCTCAGGAAGGTCAAAGGTTTGATCGCGGTTGGTAACTGAGTTCTTTATGGACTTTATGGGAGTGAATGGTTGTACTGTATGTCTCTGTCAGAACCCAGTGGTGTTTCACCTAAATGTGCAGCTTTAAGGGAAACCTCATGTTGTAAAAGAGGACATGGAGACAGTGTGTGTAAAAGAGATGGAGGCAGATGATCTGCTGTGGGGAACAGCCGAAGGAAGAAGAAGATATTTTATGCTTGAGATACTTTTGTGAAATGAAAACCTTTTTAAATGTATTTATAACTACTTCATGATGCCCAATGATAGAAATGTGTTAATACTTATTAGTATCCAACAATTCCTCACCAGTGTAACGGCAGTAAATGACTGAAGGTCAACATTAACACACCTCAACACCACAGTGTATTTTATGCACTGATGGCAGACTGAGAGGAATATAAAAAAAACGTACATCTTGTTTGGTCCATGATTTGATAGATTGTTACAGACACAGAAGGCTAAGTTCACAACCACGGACCACATTTCAGAACGTGGTGCAGTTTATTGTCTCCCTGCGTTTTCCCTTCGGAACGACTTATTCATTTGTTTGTTGATTTACTTTTTTATTGCCTCAGGTGCAGAGAGCATGTGTTTGATATTCTCCCACGCCAGTGTTAACTGGGAGAAAGGCTGCTGCATTCAGGTCAAAGGGAGGAGAAGGAGGAGAAGTGTGTGTTTCTGTGCGACGGCTGCGTTGTAAATGCAGCCTGATTAATCCTGAGAGCGAAGGAGGAAAAATAAACAGCATTCACAAACGCCGTGCTCATTGTGAAAAGGCATCTGTGCAGGCGAGAGTAAGTGGCAGAAAGAAACACGGGTTGGTGCGCGTTAATGGCCTCGTTGGGTTCTTCAATTCATGACCATGTGCAGTTTTATAGACGACAATATACGACAATTTTTTTAAAATTTTCATTCAAAGGGAATGCAGATGCACATGATTATTAAATAACAAATGAATTCAATGACTAAAGTTTAATCACATACCCTGGTTCCTTTAGGGTTGTGATGTTCCAAATCAGTCCCAAAATAATTAATACAAATTGTTCTCTAAACAATTTTTTTACATTTCAATTGAAAGGTTAAGAAACTGCATCAAGTCTAAATTCATACTAAATACTAAAACTTGCTTGTACTATATATACATATATGTGTTTTATATACGTATATATAAATATATACTCATATAAATATATGTATATATCTTTATATATAGTATCAGCCATGTATTAGAGCAATAATAAGTGAATGGTTTTTTTGAAAAATTTTTGGATATACATTGCATGCCATTCTGTCCATGTGTTAAATCATTAGAATTTTTAATCAGATTAATCTTCACCAATGAATTAACTTGAATCATATCTTCTTTTTCACAGCCCTAATAAATAAGTGTTATAAAAAAAACCCACAGCACTTGCATGTATGTATTGGATGTGACCAATACAAGTGACTAACATGATAGGTTGCACTTTGTACACCCGTGGCTTTGTTTCCATGAAATACTGTGAATAAAATCAAAAACAGTCCATAGAAACAGATCCCATTTGTGACCATGTGCATATTTATTCATCATCATTTCAGCTTCGGCATTTAATTTCTCCTTGTGTGAATGCTGATAAAGGATTTCGACTGCATTCGTTTCCTGGGCTCCTGTCACTTCCCTGCCTCGGTTTCTTTTATCCCTCAGTCCACACTGACAGCTCCTGTCTTTTCAAATTAAAGTCTGGTTAAAAAGTGCCAGAAGGCATTTCACTCCGTAATATAAATCTCCTCTCCTATGGGTACGTAGCAGAGCCCTGAGTCTGATTCCCCCTCAGCCAAACAGCACCAGTCTGAGTGCACAGACACAGCAGAAGGCATCGCATTTCACTGCTGCATTACAGCAGCCTGGCCTCACAGGAGCCGAGTGTCATTCAGCACATTCTCTAGCTACAGCAGAAAGGAGCAAAGGGGAACAGACAAAAGCAGAAAAGGTCTCGCAGAGATGCCTTGAAGT